CGCTCTTCCTGGCCCTGCACAGACAGGATCCAAGCAGTGTACAATGAATAAGCTCTTTTAGTTCTACCTATTAAGATCATCTCCAGGTAGAACCCCTTCAGAGAGACTTCAACACACTTGGATAAATCCACAGCAGCATACCGCGGAGGTAAGCATGTACACAAAGGAGCTACAAATGCACAGTTTGTGGAGAGGGCTGGTGCCAGCATACACGGGGAGAGATCACGAGCTTGGAATCAGAATTCCCCTTGTGAGAACAGAGAATTTAAACAGGGATCAACTGAAAATGATTATAAGGAGACTTTCTAAAGAAAGATTATTTTCATTTTGCCAGCAATAGACAGAAAATGAGAAAGCACGTGCTACGGGAGATGGTCATGCCACAATCTGTTCTCCATTGTTCCCTGCCTTCAGGGACTTTGGGCACACATGTACACATGCATGTTGTGGTTTTTTTAAGCCACCAGGTCTAGGTTTGGAACCACATGGTTGGCCAAGTGGGATCCAGCCACCTTAACCACCATACCATGCACTAGCTCAAGAGAGTTTTTTAAAGTTACAGCAAAACAAGTCATGAAAAAGGAGCATGATGTAGTAAAATGAATCAGATCTGGTTCTAGATCTCAGTGTTCTCATGATGTAGTCGAGCAATCTCATGCAAGCTTACTCACTCTGAGCCTTCACTTCCTGCTCTGTTAAACAGGAATAACAGAGTTACTGTGAGACAAGGGAAGACACACAAAGATTGCTTAGTAAGTGTTGACCCTTTTCTCTCACTTCTAATAATTAACATGGCACATACTTGGACTGGCTTCCTTGTGGCCTCGTAAGTGTGTTTCCCATCACTGGGATATGAGTAAGACCTGAATAAATACCTGTAGGGATATTATGTTCGAAAAACAGTATTAATGTGATGATGGCCCAAGTGTCCTAGCATTTCCCCTAACATTTTCGTTCTATTACCCAAAGATTGTGAAGTAGAATTTTCCAGTCACTCTGACAGGTTTCTAGTCATAGAAGATGCTTTAAAACACCAGCAAATGGGTTTTAAAGGGTCTAACCAAAAAGTGCTGCCTGTTGTGTGCCCACAGATTCATAACGCTCCCACCATCGTAAAAATGCTGAGGGTTCCACAGCAAAGAACAGCTCTGCCCCAATGTATATGACCTAGAAATGCTCTCTTCTCCATGCCCCATAGTAGATATTGATATCTAGCAAAACTCATGTTCTAAAGATCTTGCATGTAGGAAAAATGGTATTATAGCAAGCACTGTGTATCTCACCCCATTTAAGCAATTCTTTAGGATAAAAACACATGTCACTTTTCAAGTTCAGATTCTACCATAAAAAGATGGCTTGAAGATCTGAGGCTGGGTTGCTTAATTACCTTGGGCAGGTGATATCCAGCCAAAGTAGTATCAACTGTCACTTCCCTGGGAGCATTCAATGGAAGGATGTTGCCCATTCTCTGCACCTCATGGATGAAGGCGTTGGTGTAGGGCATGGACTCTCGGAAGGCCATGCTCGACTGTTGACACTGGCCAATCACTCTGTCAATCTCAGCCTGCACTTTTTCTGGGAAAGAAGAGGAGGTTTTACTATTTTTCAGACTTTTATGCTTTTTTGCAAAGTCATAGGAGTTGTTTCTCATATTTCACCTATTATAATTTAGTCCCTGACCAGGTTGCAAAGCACAAAAATAGTTATTAATTATTCAAAGGGCTTACCTAGAAAACTACCAACATTATCACTTTCATGAGCCTTACTGGGCTAAGGAATGGAATAACCAGGATCAACATGGCTAAGTCCACAGGAGAAACCTGTCTTATTTTATTGAGGTCACTGTAACAAAATAAAAACTGGGTAGCCTAGAAACAATAGACACTTATTGGACAATGCTGGAGCCGGGCAAGTGCGAGGTCAGGGCACCAGGAGATTCGGTGACTGGTGAGGACCCACTTTCTGGTTCACAGTGAGATGGCAGGGTCTCTTAGTGCACTAATCCCAGTCTTGAAACTACAAAGGCCACACATCCCAATACTATCACACTGGTAATTAGGTTTCAACATATAAATCTGTGCACAGATACAAACATTGACACCATAGCAAACCTATAGACTCTAATTACTCAAAGAGTTATATGAGCTATATGAGAATAAAATACTAGTGTCCAAACAATCACGTGGCAAACCATTGCTCTACAGCATTACTGTTGTAAACTCCTTAAACTCTTTGGGTCTTAGGTTCCTCATCTGATCAGCAGAGATAAATATACCTTGACCTTTAAGGTGGTTTGAGATGTATACTAAAATGGCTTAAGTGAAAACCCAAGAAATCTTAGAAACTGCTAGATGGATTGAAATATTTGTTTTCCCCTTTTCTAGAAATAGATATTTTAGCTAGATAGCTAGCTGTCCAGTTAAAGACCATTTTCCAGATTCCGTTGTGACTAAATGTGACCGTGTAACTAAGTTCTAGCCATTACATGTAAGTAAAACTGATGTTCAGTCCTTGAAGCAAGTGCTGAAGGGAAGGGTCCTATGCTTCTTACTTCCTTTATTCTTTCTGTTGGTAGAAAGGCAGCCCTGGTGGTGAGCCACCTTAGAAAGTGGGCATCATGAAGCCAGCAGATGGTGTGATGGTTAAGGCACTGGACTCCCACATGGCCAATGACAGTTCTACTCCTGGACCTGACAGCTTGAAAATCATGCTGGGCTCGTGTGCCTGTGTACTCAAAACCCCAGGAGGAGAATGGAGAAGAAGGGATTCCAGTGTGACCCTGCCCATGGAGGGGTGATTTCTCATTCTCCCTCTCATTATCTCTGGTGAGCACATATACCCCATGGCAACAACTCTAAAAGAAAGAAAAAGAAAAAAGAGTGCATCATTCTAGACACAACAGAGAAACCAGCTGGAAAATGTGGAATCTTCAATGCTTTGCCAAGTGCAGCTTGGAAGTGTGTTTTTATTTGTTCGTTTTTATCTTTACCTGAGAAAAAAATAAACTTCCACCATTTTCTTAGTGTCCATCAAAAAATTTAATTAGGATAAAGAAGGGGGGGGGGCATCAGAGAGCATGATGTGCCAGCAAAAGAGTTTGGACGTTTTCAAGGGAAAAGAGGGAAGGCATCCCTTAAAAAGAAGGGAAGGGCTCAACTAGAGTTTCATATGAGAGGTAATACTTTCTTAGAACTTATCAGAATGTCAGCTGACTTCACTGTTTCCCTCTTAGATATCAAGCTTCTCGAAGATAGGAGCTCTCTGTAATATTTATATCACTTGGATCCATCACAATTGTGACCAAAAATATCAAGAATTAGCTGGTTTCCAAGCCCACATCATCTCATGACTGCTCTACTGACTCTTCCTTTCTTTCTTTCCTATTTTAAAGAGAGATTTTTTGCTATAAGGATTGTGCACTTGCCAGAAACAGAGAGAGAGATAGCTATGTCACAATCCCTTCTCCATTTTCCTTTCAGGATTATGGACACACATGCACATGTTCCCTGCATGAGTTTCAAGCTGCTGGGTCTGGGACTTGAACCACAGTCCCAGGTTGGGGAGTCCAGAGCCCCAACCATCATGTCTCCAACTGGACCCTGACCTTTCCTTTCTACCATGCTCCCTCTGGCTCCAGTTTTGTGCAGCATATTCCATGAGGTATTATTCTGTCCCAGCCCAGGCACACTCATGGACATGCTCACCTTGGATTTCGGGGTAGAGGGCCAGATAAAGAAGACCCCAGCGCAGAGTTGTAGAAGTTGTCTCAGTTCCAGCAAAGAAGAGGTCCAGGGTGGTGTAGACAAGGTTTTCTTCATCAAAACTTGAAGAGGCATTGCTCTTATGTGAGAAACAACAGTGTTTATTGGTTTAGCAGATTCATGGTTGGCACGATACACAAGGGACTTTATCCTACTGAGAAGATTTGGAAAATAGGTCTCCAGGAGAAGTGACTTTCCCTTTGGCTTCCTCATGAGGTAGAGGCTTAAAGCAATATCATTAGTGGTTTCCTGTTATGCTGAAAACTAATAAATAAATTCCAACACTTGCGTTGGTGAAACTGAAGATGTACTTCCTTATGCTGGTTATTTGGAAGAAGTCACCAGTACATGGTGGGAAAAAAAATGTGAGGCATATCAAACAGATTTAACTCCTAATATCAGCCATAGTGCACAGTGGATGTGTGACCTAGGACAAACTAATTAACCTCTCTGGGCTCCAGGTTTCTGTCTTATAAATGGAAGCAGCAATACGCATCCCTTAGCATAACATGAGATGCAAGGATGAAAATATTCAAAAACCATTCATACTAATACCAGGCAAAACTTGACAGATGTGGTATAGCTAAGGACTTTGAGATGGGAGGATTATCCTGGATTTTCCCAGTGAGATAAGCATGATCACAGAAATTTTAATAGCAGGGAGGATATAGAGTCAAAGTCAGAGGGAGAAGATGTAAAGATGGAAGCAGAAATCAGAGGGGAGAAAGCTCTACATTGCCGCCATTGAAGATGATGCTAGAGGCCACAAGGGAGGAAGTCCCAGAAGCTTCTAGGAACTGGAAAAGTCCCAGAAGCAGATTCTGATCTAGAGCTTCCAACAGGGGCCAGCCCACCCACATAACCTGAAGTCAGCCAGTGAAACTGTCTTCAGATTTCTGACATCCAAAACAGGACGAAATAAGCTTGCATTATTTTAAAGAGAGAAAGTGTGTGGTGATTTGTTACAGAAGCAAATATAAATTAACCTATCACTCTTTGTTCATTTAGAACAAAATATAGGAAACAGCTTCGTTTTCCTCACCTTTGCCATTTCTTTGAGGTAAGCATCGATAAAGTCTCTGGTTTCCTCAGGGTTCCCATCTCTTTTATGCTTTTCAATCACATCACCAACAAACGATTTCAGTTTTTCCCAGTTTCTGAAGAGGGTTTGGTGGGATCCAGGAAGAAATCTCATTATCCAAGGACATATATTGTAGAGCTAATTGACAAAAATAAAACAGTCATGGAGACCATAGGGCACCACTTTTAGACAAACCAAACAATCTTCTCCTCCCATCTCTTTTATTTGCTGAAACCTTGGAGTCATCTTTGACTTCTCATTTCTCTCTCACCCTTCTCAGTTCTCCAGCAAAGCATTTCAGTTCTCCATCCAAAATATGCCCACCCTTGGACCACTTCTTACCACCCCAACCACTTGCTATCTTAGTAGAACCATCAACATTTTCTTTCTGGATGATGTAATAGTTTTCAACAGCTTTCCTGATCTCATTCTCAACCCCTTCCCAACCTATTTTGGACAGATCTGTGAGAGGAATCATTGAACTATTTAGCCATATCATTTCAGTCCTCAGTTCTCAAACTTCCAAGGGCGTTCTGCCACATTCAGATAAAGCCCGCCACCATGTAAGTGCACAGAGCTGGCCCTGCATACCTCTGTCTCCTCTTTCCCATCAGTCCCTGCCATCTGACTCTTCCTCCCCATGGTGCAGCACACGGCCCTTGTGATCACATCACTCACTCCTGGTTTGGGCCATTGCAGTTGCTATTTCCACAGCCTAGAAGGCTCTTCCTCTGAAATCTCTAATCCGAGTCCCTCACTCTACTAAGGCACTGCTCAAATGCCATCTTTTATTAGCTGTCTTACATGATCATTCTATAATTGTGAGCACTGCTGTCACCCTTGTCTAGTCCCCTGTGAAGTTTTATTTTTATTTATGTTCATGGTAATTATCATTAGTATGTATATGTCCCTGATTATATGTGTGTGTGTGTGTTTATATCTGCCTCCCCCACTCTGGTGTAATTCACATGAGTAAGACTCATATTTACTGAAATAAAGTGGACTTGTATAAACTTTTTCTAATATCTTGTTGAAAACAGCATAGAATAATTAAAACCTGATCAAATATAAAATAAGACAGGCATGAGAGAGTCTATTAGCTCAGCTTCTCTCTAGCTGTATAATTTGGTCATAGTAGTAATAATAATAATAATGTAGGTTGTTGATCTTTAGTTTAAGTAGCTACTAGTGGGGTCCCGAGTGAGTCTGGGGACTGAATGAAATGAGGTACTCAAAATATTGAACAAGAGCTGGAGACTCCTATCCATGGATGCTGGAATAGTGTCACATGAGCTTGCATGCATCACATTTCTTCATTTCATCTCTATAGGCTGTTGTGAAAATAAATGAAGAAAGAGTATGTGAAATTATTCACTGAAGTACCTGATATTTTTTAGATGTCAAAAATATTTATTATTCTTCCTTTATCACTCCTTCCTTCCTGGCCATAAATTTCATCATCTTGAGAAATGTACCTAGCAGCCTTCTGGGCACCCACTGAGCTCATATTTTTCAGGCTCTCTCTTAATAGGAGAGAAGCAAATGAAACTGTTGAAATGGGGACTCCTACTAAAAACAGAGCTTGCAAAATAATTTGAGAATAATAATAAGAACACTACCTTACATGCATTATGACCTTTTAGGTACCAGAAAGCATGTAAACTCATTTTACAGATTTGTACGATGGATCCATAACATTTAAGGAAAAGGTGATTGCCAGGAATAACTATAAATACATCCACTTCTAACTACATCTGAGGTAAACTAATAATCAGTGAAGACAGTGAGGTCTTACATACCGCCAAAGAGAAAAAGGAATGATGAACTGAAAGGTGTTCATTCCTAATAACACAGCATTAAAATATAAAAATAAGAAATTGACAGAAATATAAGAACCAAGGGAACCAGCAGTTAGCGTAATGGCTATGTTGCTGGACTCCCACGTAGTCAACCGTGGTTCGCGTCCCGGACCCAGTGGCTTAAAACTCATGCCGGGAACCTGTGCATGCGTGCCCAAGATCCTGAGAGGAGAATGCAGGAGAAGGGATTGTGGTGTGACCATCCCCCCTGGGGGGTGATTTCTCGCTTTCTGTCTCTATGTCTCTGTCTGTCTGGCGAGCGCATGTGCCCTATAGCAAAAAAACCTGTCTCCCCCCCCCAAAAAAAATATAAGAACCAAGAGCTAGAGCTATCATCTTAGAAGGAAATTTTAGCACAGTGGGTAGTCGCCAGCACAAACAGTAAGAGGAAGAAATTAGTTACAAAGACTAGGAAGGAAAAATCAAAGATAGAGTTATTTAGATGTGGTATGATTGTCTATTAACTCATCCACAGATTAATTATAATACTAAGAGTTTGCCAAAGTTGATTGAAATGAAGGCAATAACCAAAAGTCAATATAAAGAAGCAAAAAAAGAGAAAGAAATAGATAACTGACAATTTACCAATAATGTATCTAAGGAAAAATTCTCAATGATTTTTCCAACAATTAGGTAAAAAAGGAATGGAAGGGGCAGCAGGTGGTGTAGTAGTTAAGGTACTTCCACATAGTCAACCATGTTTAGATTTTTGTACCTAGTGGCCTGAAATTCAGGCTGGGCACATGTGTGTTTGTTCTTAAAATCTCAAGAGGAGAATGGAGGACAAGGGATTGTGGTGAAGCCATCCCCCCTTGGGGTGATTTCTTGCTTTCTGTCTCTTTTGTCTCTCTGGCAAGAACATGTTCCCTATAGCAAAAATCTCTCTCTCAACAAAAACATAACAAAACAAGTGAGTGAGAAATGATACATATAACATATGAACCCACTGATCCCTCTTTACAATCAGACATTAAGTATGTTTTAGAAAGCAGTCCTTCCAAAGAGAAACCTGATACCTATCAGGTCTCTACATGTAATTACCAAAGAACATAAGACATAGGAACAGAAAACATGTTAAATACCAGTGGAATGCAACCAGTAAAATCCAGAATGTGGAATACTTCATGGGAAAAATGACTCCACTTTGTCAATAAATAAATTATTAAAGAAAAATAAAGAGAATGGGAAGAAAGCCATGGGTGAGACTTGAGAGACAAAGCAACAAAATACAGAATATGAAAAATAAAGTATATGGGTGTTGGGGGGTAGTCTGGCTGCTGATTAAAAAAAAATTATGAAACATCTGAACACTGGCTGGAAATTTTAAAATATTTGATCACTATTATGCATATTTTTAAAATTATTTTATTTAACTTTGCCTATTTATTTACTTATATTATAATTTGACCAGAGAGGGACAGAGAGAGAGAGAGAAAGTGAAAAAGCAAGCGGCCAGGTCTGGGACTCAAACCATGGTCAACTATGTGGGAGTCCAACACCCTTAACCACCACACCACATGCCGGCCCCTATTGTTAATATTTTTCAGGTACAATGATATTATATATTTGTTAAGATGGTTCCTTTCAGAACTGTATATTGAAACATTTTGAAAAATTTGCTTCAAAGTTATTACAGGGTGAAGAGAAACTGTGGTACATGAATATGAATGAATGAAATTGGCCAATTTGTTGAAAATTATTGTATCTTGATGATATGTACACCATTATTCGTGATTGTATTCTCTCTTCTTTTTATACAAATTCATAATTTTCAAAAATAAAGTGCTTTTTTTCTAACTGAGGTGGTTTTATTTTTTAAATGTTGGTAATGGCAGGCTAAGTGATTCAAGATCAACCCATTTACTGATGACACACACAAAATGATTTTTAGAATATGCACATGTATTCACATGTATGTCCACATACACACACACACACACACATACACACACACACACACACATACACACACACACACACACATACACACACACACACACACATACACACACACACACACACATACACACACACACACACACATACACACACACACACACACATACACACACACACACACACATACACACACACACACACACATACACACACACACACACACATACACACACACACACACACATACACACACACACACACACATACACACACACACACACACATACACACACACACACACACATACACGCACACACACACAAAGAAAGAAAGAGAGAGACCAAGGTAGCGAGGTAATTTCAGAGACAAGGCCTAGAAGAAGAAGGAAGCTCAGAGGGATAACTTCAACTCATTGGGTGGATTTACTCCTGGAAGTCTTCCAAATTCAGGAAAGTAACTGAGAGACCATAGACTTAGCTGAGCTTTCCCAGACTCAAGGGCCTATAGGGACAAGCATTGGAGTGAAGGGTCCAATGAGAAAGGGATGAGGTCTGAACTCCAAAGAGTGACACCATATGAAATTAGAAGACTAATAATATTAAGAATTGGTAAGCATGTAAATATTGCAAAGGTTGGAAGTCTTTAGGCAACTTTCATGCCCAAATATATGTACAAAAGAAATGAGTAGGTTTCTCAGCACGAATGTTTATGCTAGAATGTAAGTATTCCATTCAGTTATGGAAGCTTGAGTCATAACATCCCAAACCAGAGACAACCCAAATTTCCAGTAATAGAAATAGATTAACAAACAGTGGCACAGTCACACAATGGAATGACGGTTGGCATTAGAATAAGAGTAACCAACATAGATGAACCTCCAAACGAGCTGCAGAGCAAGAGGCAGACACAGAAGAACCCTGCTGAAAGAGTAGGAAAATGGATGGGTTAGGAAGAGCCACAGAGAGGAAGGACTCAAAAACAGGAACAATATTGTTATTCTTATTAAAGAGAACAACATAGGTGTAATTCTGTACTTTACATGAATATTAGAAATGTTTTTGGCATATAGAAAATATTAAATATTTTTACAACACTAAAGTTAGCAGATTGATTTCAAATAAGTGTTCAAATCAATTCTAAAATATTATATTTTAACTTCAAGAAAAAAAAAAACCTTTGTGGCTGACATCATCCTCAGCATACTCAAGAAAGATATGAAAGAGAATCACCTTACCTGGCATGGCACTGAAGCCTCCAGAAATGTGACTTCATCTAGTAACTTCAGTAGCTCCTGAAATTGACCATCCTGGTACTCAAAGCGTTCTCCAAAGGTGATGGAGCAAATTATGTTGGAAACTGCATTATTGATTTTAAAGTGAGGGTCAAAGGGCTGTCCTGGAGGTAGAAAAAGGAGATGTATATTTCAGATCGATTTATTTCTACTTACTACTGAGAGTCCACTCTATTTGACTTTGGATATCCCTAGTACAGAATCACATAGGAGGCTCTGGCACACAGAGAGTTCTTGGTCAATGAAAGGGAAGTCAAACTGATGGCCGGGGGTTAAACTTAATAATATCTTTACCACCAAAATTCATATGCTTAATACTAGAACTCCTTGACAGTAAGGTCATGGTTAGTACCTTATCCTTAGTACCTAACCCAGGGCTGGGCATAGGACAAGCACTGAGGCACTTAATAAATATCTGTTTTGGGCTAGCAGGTGATGTAGTGGTTACAGCGTTAAGTTCCAACATGGCTGACCATGGTTCAAGTTTCAACTCAGTGGCTTGAAAATCACACCAGGTGAGTGTGTGCACATGTCCAAAATCCCATGAATAGAACGGAGGATATGGGAATGTGGCATGGTCATTACCTCTCTCTGTCTCTCTCTGGTAAGTACATGTACTTTATGGCAAAAAAAGAAGAAAAAGAAAGAAGAAAAAGAAAGAAAGAGGAAGAAAGGAGAGAAAGGAAGGAAGGAAGGAAGGAAGGAAGAAAACAAAAGTATCTGTTTAATAAATGAATAGGTCACAGTCTTCATGTGTGGTCCTGTGAAATACTCACCATTCTCCTCCTTCATTGCCTCAGCGAGGTAGTGGGCCTCCTCCTGAATGCGCTCCTCTAGGCTCTTCTTTCCTAAACCAAAGTTCCTGAGTGTCATCAGGGTGAACCTTCTTTGCTCCTTCCATTCCTGGCCATTGGACATGATCAGTCCTGGGAAAAATAAAGTCAGCATGCCATTCTGATTCTATAATATGAACATCCAGTAAATGACACAAGGATTTGTATCAGATAGAAAGGATAAAGGCATAAGACACTTGAACACTGTTCAGACATAAAATCTCAAAGCAATATATATAGCTGATAAGGGTTAGTGACTGCTTTCAGTGTTAGTACTTCAGTAAGTTATTTTTCAATGCATTATATACTTTAGTATTCACAGAAACTCTATGGAACAGGTTTAATTATTACCAACCTCCCTCTCCCTCAATACAAGAAAACTGAGAAACTGAAGATATTGGACAATGTAAAATTCACAAGGTTGCACAATTAGCAGTGAACCAGGCACTCACCTTCAGGTCTGCCTCATTCCCAAAGCTCATACTTCTTTATTAGTTATGTACATATAGTCAAGTACTTGTGTTATACTAAATACTCATGGATAAGACAGAATCCTACTTTTTGCTAAAGGGCACGTGTACTTGCTGGAGAGACAAAGACACAGACAGAAAGCAAGAAATCTCCCTCCAGAGGGTATGACAATGGATTTTAGGCACGCATGCACATGTGCTTGGCATGAGTTTTAAGCCGCCTGGTCTGGGACTTGAAACATGGTCAACTATGTTTGAGTCCAGTGATGTAATCATTATGCCATCATCCGGTCCCTAGAATCCATACTCCTTATGAGGCTATGAAAGGCTTATAGAAGTAGTTTAATTTAAGCTTTAAAAGATAATAGACTAACTTAAAGGAAGGAGGGGGCCAGCACCAATGTACAGGAGTTGAGGGGTTAAGTGTGCATAGGGAGCAGGATCCCACATGGCCAACTGTAATTAGAATCCTGGTCCTTGTAGCTTAAAAACACACAGGGTGCATGGTACATGTGGGCCCAAAATACTGATGAGATTGAGAAATGGAGGGAAAATGTTTCTGATGCTATTATCCCCCATCCACATGTGCTTTTCATCACTCTCTGGAGAGAACATGCACCATCAGACAGGAAAGCGAGCAAGAAAAGGAGAAAGAAAAAGGAAGAAAGAAAGAAAGAAAGAAAGAAAGAAAGAAAGAAAGAAAGAAAGAAAGGAAGGAAGGAAGGAAGGAAGGAAGGAAGGAAGGAAGAGACTATTACATACAGAAAGAACAATAAAAGGATAAAATGTCTTGGTTTGTTTAACAGACCATTACTTGCTTCATACCAGGTATTGCCATTCCTCTATCCATTTTTTACTTCCAGAGCACTCTTCATGTCTTTGACTAACTGGCTTTGGCTTCCACCATTCAATGAAATAGCCCTCAATGTTTAAAAGTCAGGAAAGCCTTTCTACCTCATCTTCCTTATTCTTTCAGCACATCAGCCCCTTCCAGTGGTACTCAGCATACCACACTGTACAGATTTTCTTTCTAATTCTCTCCCAGAAACTTCCCTTACCCTTTCCTGGTTCATCTTCAATCAAATATTGAAATGGTAGCATTATTCAAGGTTAAGCATAAACGTTTTTCTCTTCTTATCCTCTACTCCATTATGGAAAATCTCACTATCCCCGAAAATTTTACATCATGTGTCTTGATAATGACCATCTGTTTCTGGCCCTGAGATCCAGACCCATATATACAATAACTACCTGCTTGACTTTGCCAAGATAAAGGCTTTTGAAGGTCAGTATACGCATGATTGAACTTATGATTTTTCCATACAACTCCCCGCCCAAGGCAAACCAAACTGAACACCTTGTAGTTCTCTAAATGTTCATCCTTTCTATCATCTATTCATTCAGAAGGCACCTCAACACCTCATCCTCCCTATATCTGGGTCATGTGTCCTACCTACTAAATATCTTGAATCTATGTATCTTACCTGCCGCCATTCTGGTCTAACTTACTGCTGTTTTTTGCTACCTTTCAAGTGTAAGTTTTCACTTTCTCTAACACAAAGTGCTACCAAAGACTCTTCTTCCCTTCATTCCATTCTCTACATGGCAGGATAAATGAGTCTGAAACAGATGCAGTATAAATATAGCAATCTAGTTCCTACTTAACAGCATTCAAGAGCTTCCATTACCAGGACAAAAACTAACATCCTGAACAAGAGCTTGCATGACCCAACCCTGGCCAGACCCATCAGCTTTATCTTCATGTAATGGTTTCATGTAAGCCCTTATCCTCTGTGCTTGCCTCAACAGCCACCTTCTAATTCCTCAAGTTCACCGTCCTCATTTCAGAGACTTTTCATATCCTATTTCCTCTGCCTGATTGTTTCTTCACATTATTAAATGAACTACCACTTACTTACATTCACTTTTCCTGAATCCCGAGTCTACAATACATATCCTAATAAGCAGTCCCTTCATAACACTATAGGCTTTTAATTGTTAAAGTTAGTTGATGCTGTCTTTCTCTCAGTAGGACATACGCTACACAACAATATGGATTTTACCTCTTGTGCTCACTGTTAAAGCACTCGTATCTGGCACTGTGCTTCACATGGCTGATAGTACAGGATATATATGAAGTATTCATTGCTGAAATATTTCAAGGAAGAATGGGAAAGTACCTGAGAAGAGGTGTTTTGATGTAGTAATAGATCTGAGATATATATTTCAATTTTTAAAAATTTTATTCTATGCATTATTTTTAAACTTGCTGCAGTCACCAGAGAGAGACAGAGACAAAAAAAAAGAGTAGGCTGCAACCAGGTAGGATACAAATTGTGGTTGGCCATGTGGGAGTCCAGCCCCTTAACTCCCAGTCACCTACTGGCCCCTTTATTTCAATTTTGATATATTCAGGCTAATTTATTGATAATAATATGAAGTGCTCATGCTAACCTGTTCTAACATAGATTTGTAAGTTTGAGACAACCTGCTGGGCATGGCCTTTACGATAGAGCATAAGGAACTAGCAGCAAGAAGCCGCAGTGGCAGAAGGAAGCAGATCCACATGCATTTTCCCCTGAGGGAGAGGTCTGGAATGGGAACGCAGAAAGAGAACGCATGGCATCTTGCTCAGCTATAACAGAGCCATGTGGGTACTTCATGATCAAAGCACCTGGAGTGAGTCTGTGGATGACTTAGGAGAGCTTCCAAATCTCTGTTGGGGCTGACCCTACCAAATCCTCTGGGGAGGTACTTTCAGGGTAGACATGTGGATACCCAATGACCTTTAATAGCAGGAATTTTATAATGGGGCTGGATGTGAGGAAAAGGAGTTGGAAAATTATAGTCATAGGCAGGTTTAACATACCTTAAGAATGTCAAACACACACCTTACATCGATCTAATGACTTACCATTTCTCTTAAAGACACGTTTTCGAGAGTGCAACATGGGGCGGTTCATAAAGTTTTGTTCCATGTGTAAAAGGACTTCTTTGATTAAGGGCAATCCACTTATAATAATGAAATTAATGTGACCAAATGGCAGGCTCAGAACATTCCCATATTTCTTCACATACTGAAAAATAGTGAAACAGTCACAGTTGAGTATGCACGGGTCCGTATGCTCAGGAATGGAAGGTGTGTGTGCCTGCACCTGGATCTGATGGGAATGTTTCTGTTCTCTTCTCCTCCTCTCAACTCAGATTCAGTTCACTCTTGGATGTAGAAGTTTCCTTATAAAGTATTTTATCATATATGTAATCACCATGAATTGAGTGAGTATCCTTGATATGTCCCTGGAGCAAAGCCATGAAGGTGTAACTGTAATAAAATAAATGAGATCTCTAACCTCAAACTTCCTAGAGTCTGGTGAAGGTAGAAAATACAGCACATCTGACCCATGAAAGAAGACAGACATGTTTAAATCTTGAGCAGCAAGCCTGGACATAGAATGCACCCCTCCCAGACAGCACATACAGAATAGAAACACACAGTAGATAATAGGAAGCATATTACAGTGCGGGGGCCAGGAATGGAGAAAGGTGGGCAAGCTTGGTCCTAGCTTTCAAATTCTGTGACTCACTGGGTCACTTAGTGTTACTTAGTGGGTGGTTTTCCCATAGTGTGATAAAGGCTTATCCATCTGTACTTGAGTGTATGGGCATGTGGTTAAAGTGCTCTAGGCATTTGTAGTGAAAGGGAAGCTAATATCTGTGTGTACCAACTCTAAGCCTTGTGACTACTGACCATGCACTGTGTTACTTAATCGTCACAACAACCTGTCAGAGTGTTGTCTCTCATCAAGGTACCTGTGTTGAGTGGCAGGAGTAGCTGAGGATTATTCATGAGAAGGTGTTTGATATCTGAGAGAATGTTGAAACTTAGGGAGTGCTGGAGAGATTCCAAATAAGTGGAAAGAGGATGTATGAAGATGGGCCTAAGTGACTGTAAGGAGGCTGACTCCTTCCATGTTTGGGAAGCAGTGGAAGGCACTGAGAAGATTGACACAGAGGAATGACACTTTAAAATTCTTTTTCAGACCAGCCTCATAGCTTAATGGTTAAGACAGTTGGATCCCACAGGTCAACTGAGGTTGCAATCCTGCCCCCAACAGCTTAAAGAACATATAGTGACCATATGCATTTGTCTTACAAATCTCCAGAGGCTGGAGAAACGGAGGAGAAGGATTGTGATGTGCTCCCGCCCACTGTGGAGTGCTTTCTCCCTTCGGTCCCTCTTTGGTGAGTGGCCATACTCCATGGTAATTTAAAAAATTCACTATATTAGTGAAAGCACATTGCAGGAGAAGGTAAGAATTGAAGGCATGGGGCTCATTTAATATGCTGGTTGGAGAATTCTATTGAGAATTGATGAGTATTTAGGCAGTAGTATCATCATTTTACATATGAGATACGGAGCCCCCAAGAAGGAAAGTACAGATTTTTCACCATAGTGCTATAAAACAGGACAAGGTGAGCATATTATGAATAAGATGTTCCAGTAATACTACAAAATAATACACAATTTAATGAGTTAAAATATATATAATAAGCCTAGCACCTTTCGTTAGCAGTTGCTAACACTCTATTCCCCATCAGGTAGTTTCATACCAGTTGATTCATAACGAAAACTAAGTTCAAAACCAGGTTTACAGCATCAGCCACCCATACTCCTGCCCTTGTCCCCAGAACGTCCATTGTTCTGCCGACCAGGGTTAGGGCTGGGGTCAGGCTACACCTACCTGTTGAAGCTGCAGCTGCGACTTCTCAAAGTCAGAATGGAATAAGACGCTAATGAAAGACAGGCGCCAGGGCCCTGGTGGATAATTCTTTGGATGCCGCTTTTTGAGTAAGTTAACAAAAACTAGAAAGGTGACAGCGCCCAGCAGAAGAGTCCGGAGATGGAGCACAGCCCAGAGGGCGGCCAGCAGGGAGCCTATCGTCGGGAGCATGTCTTAGATGTTCTCTCGTTCTTCTGTGGTCTGAGCAGACAACGGTTCCAGACCTTACGGGTCACAGAGCTGACAGACCAGGGCGCTCAGCGCTGCTGCAGGCCAACCGTCCTGCTCCTCCAATCACCGCCGCCGCGCCGGTCTACGCCTCCGGCCCGCGCCACGCCTCCGGCGGACATTATTCCCGCTGCATCACCCTTCCAGGCTGCACTTCCCTAGCTGCTCTTCCCTAGCTCCCTTGACCACACCATATCTTCCCTGCCTAGCAAGCCCTCTGCCCCTACTGTATACCCAGCATAGGTTGATAAAGCTTTTGTATTTCTGAGAGAATCCACACCGGTCTTGAAAAAGACTAGGCAAGGAGCGATTCCTTTTCTATTGAGAAAACTCCTCTTCAAGGACACTGTCAAGACTGGGGTTTAATGTTTCAAAGCTTTTCCCACAGCGCTGAAGCTGAAGACGTGTGAGGTCTTGTTTTGCTATCACCAACTGGCTCAGTGCTGGGAACTGTGTCTGATAAATAGTGATAACAGTGGCACACATTTCTGGAGCTCTTACCATATGTCAGGTATTGCACTTGCCTCCTTCTATAAATTATTTCTATAAAATTATGCAGGAGATGCTCTCCTTAGTTTCATGTTGTAGTTGAGGCAACAGATTAAAAGCTAAGTAAAAGGAAAATAAAAATTATAGGTAAGTGGGGTATAATTTAATCCATCAGTCTGAAGCACATCTAAATGTGGTTCTGCATTTGACAGTGTTTGGTGTTGAAGAAGCAAGGCATCAAAGCTGATAAAACTGAGCATAATCCATAAAAAGTGCTTAATAAACATTTCTTGGAGGAACATCTTAGTTCTGGGCCTTTAGTCTGCCCTGTGAGGCTTCCCTCTAAAGTCCCAAGAGGGTTAGGCCTCCAGGTTCCAAGGATCCATACCATCCTGTGTTGCCTACCATTTGTGAGACCCGCAAAACAGGAGGCTTAGTTCTGGGACACAATAGCACAGTCCCATGTACTTAATAAAGAGATGCACATTCTGCTTAAAACCTTCCTTTAAAAATAGAGTAAGAGAGACATGAAGTCTCTTTCCATATCTTATTGTTCCAAGTCCAGAAAGAGATACTACTGAAGGTAGAAGCCTAGCTAGTATCTTTCCAGTTAATATATTCCTGTTTTAGCACAGTCATTATTCATCAGTATAGTGTTTCTGATATTTGTAGATGTCCTTTAAAAGTAATGACTACTTAAAGCCTTGCTATTAAGTTTTGGAGATCTATCCTGATTGATTCATGGGACTTTAACTCATTTAATTTACCATCTGAGCAGTATTCTATTACTGCACAACATTTTATTTTACCCATTCTCATACCAATGGACATTTCAATTTGCAATCTCTCTCCTTCTGGTTTTAAATGGTTTGCACTGAAAAACAATGCCACAAGGAAATGACTTCTAAAATGATAATATGGGGAGACCCACAAATCGTCTTCCTAGTGAAACAATCATTATTGGTAAAAGTCATATATAAAACCTCAACCACTTAAGACTCTGAAAATTGTCAAAAGGGCATAGAATGAAAAAATTCTATTCAAGAAATATCTACTAAACCTTGATAAAGACAGAGTTTGTTGGATTTGAGTCATAACCCACTCTGAATTAAATTGGGGGCCAGCAGATGGCATAATCGTTGTATCACTGGACTCCCATGCAGTTGACCATGGTTTGAATCCTAGACTCAGTGGCTTAAAATTCATGCTGGGTGCATGCGTGTGTGTGCATTCCCAAAATCTCAAGAGGAGAATGGAGGAGAAGGGATTACGATGTGGCCATTCTCCCTGGGGGGTGATTTCTTCCTTTCTGTCTCTCTGTCTCTCAGGCTGCTGGGCTACTGGCTCCCTCCAGCTCCCAGCAAGGAGAAAACAGTGACTGCTCTGGTATGACTTTCTCTATCCCTCCCAGGAAAGCTGAGAGAGGCTAGGCAGCCTCAGTGGCTGGGGAAGTGTCTGCTGGCCACCTTGTCACCAACAAACAGACACTGTTCAATAAATTTGAGTACAACATTAGCATTATTGGACTTGATAATGCAGAGAAAACTACCATCTTTTGACAGTTTTCTATAAAAAGAAGTTATACACACATCTCCTAACTTGGAAAGTAGTTTAGAAGAGACAGTTGTTCATGATGCACATTTCCCAATGTAGGGTATTGATAGCCAAGAGTTCCTACATTCCTCTAGAACACTTTTATGAAAACAGAGGGTATAATAGTTATTTTGGACAATGCAGAGAGAGAAAAAATTTCTGTAAACAGAGAAGAACTCTGTACAGTATTGGTTTGGAGGACCTATGAAATGCTTGGGCTGCTGGTATTTGCTAATATACAGTCCAAAGCCAACCTAAAGGCCAGTGGCATGAGCCTGTAATCCCAGTGACTTGAAAGACAGAGACAGGATTGCAGGAGCAAGGCTGGCCTAGGCAACACAGAGATCTTGTCTTTAACAAAGTTATAGTGAGTGGGGTGTGGTGATTAAGGTGCTAGACTTTCACACAGACAACTGTGGTTCGAGTTCTGGATCTAGTGGCTTGAGACTCACACTGGGCACGTGTGCATGCAGGCCCCAAATCCTGAGAGGGAAATGGAGAAGAAGTGATTACAGCATGGCTATCCTCCTGAGGGTGATTTCTCACTTTTTCTCTCTCTTTCTCTTTCGTGAGTACATGTGCCCTATAACAAAAATCTCTTCAAGAAATAAAAGAATGAACAAATAAATAAAAATAAGAAATAACTGTGGGGCAATTACAAAATAGTGCAAATACCTATAGTGGAAATATCAAAAGGAAAATATTAAGGGTAGAGTGTGGTTACAGGTATCTTTTGTACCATCTGAGAGACCAAGGCAGGAGGATTGTGATATAGTGAAACTTAGTCTTAAAAAAAAAGTGATGAAGAGTGCTGATTATGAGTTTAGTCATTGGGTTAGTTGCTCTATCAACACCCTCAAATATATGTTGTTAAAATAAAATAGAAGATTGTCTCTGTTTTGAAGAACATTCCAGAAGTAATAAGTGGTCCAGACACAGCCACCAGGAAGATGTCTCTGCTCCATTTGCCTCCAGGATTCCAGATCTCTTCTATCTTGTTGCTTCACTATCCATCATGGTGTAGCCTTTGTCCCTAATGTCATTCCTGGTTCAATAGCACCACAGCACATTCTAGTCTACCAGAGAAGGTTAAAATAACGTGGCTATTTTTTTTTAAAAGTCATGATCTGGAAATTGTTCCCATTACTTCCACTCATATTCCATAGACCAGAAGCTGGTACTATGACTACTGTATGTTGGTAAGGATGGTTCGTAAATACACCTTTCAGCTGGCAGGCACATATGCACCTGAATACCTTAGAGAGACTATTGGGAAAAGGGAAAATGGGGTATGGATATTGTATGGAAGCAATCAGTGCTATCCATTGTTGTGTGTCAAGCTCATTGGAACCAAGTGAAAATACAAATAGATATATTAAAGTCAGAATTCTAGTAGACTGCCATGGGTCAAAGTTGCAAAATTATGTGTTCCATGTGGCTTGTCTCAAGACTCATCTGTACAAAAGGATGGTTGTTTCTTACCCAATTTACTTCCCTTGTTTTATCTTAATCGCAAAGATGCATTTCAATGCATGTGTCTAAAGGTCCTGTGTCAAAGGTCTGTAACTGACAAGTATCCATTTGCACCACAGTCCTTTTATCTTAACTATTATGAACAGGTAAAGAAAATCACCTCATGAGAAATCAAAAGTATACACACACACACACACAAACACACACACACGCTACCCAGATATAGGACATTAATTTCCAGACTAAAAAGGCTGAGTGTCCAACACAATGGCTGAAAGAAACTCATATAATGGCACATTATCTAAGAATTCTAGAGCACTAGAATTAACAGATATTCCTAAAGCACTCTATAGGATGGGAAGCACATCAGAGAAGAAATGGGACACAGAGTTGATGTCATACGGAATGAAGATATCAGACTCGGGAAACTCAGACTGTATGGAGCAATAGTATGAATATGGTCTTGGCACATTTCTCAGCACAACTTAAGAAGAGGGTAAGGACCACAGATCTCTATGATCCTGATGAGAAAATAAGGTCCCTATACTGTGGATATATTTTTTTTTCTAAAACCTGGTTAAAAGGAAGGTTTTATGAAGAAGGCTAAAATTAGCATGATTATCTAATTTCTCCTAAATTTTTTTGAGAGGTTTTTGCTATAGGGCACGTGTGCTCACCAGAAAGACAGAGACAGAGAGACAGAAAGTGAGAATCACCCCCCCAGGGGGGATGGCCATGCCACAATCCCTTCTCCTCCATTCTCCTCCTGAGATCTTGGGCACGCACGCCTGGCATAAGTTTAAGCCACTGGGCCCAGGACTTGAACTGTGGTTGACTACATGGGAGTCCAGTGACGTACCAGCCATTGGCTGGTCCCAATTTCTCCTAAATTGATTTTGAATTTAAACTGCATATGTATATGTGTATATGCCCTTGTAGGAGAGGGGTAGAGAGAGGATTCCTATCTTGGGCCACCTTTCAGTAAAATTCACACCTTGTCCATGATATCAAAGACCATTTTACATCACTAGAAAACTACGTGCTAGGCATTGATACAAAGAAAAGAGGTAAGGGGCCGTGGCGCTTCCAAAATAGTTGGGGGCATGAGAATTACAAACTTGCACGTAATAAAATCTTTGAGTAGTGCTTGGACAAAAAGAGGGCTCATATTTTAGAGTCTCTCCAACAAACTCAGAGAAAAATGGTGAGAAAATCCAATTTCTCACAGTCGTCTCTTCCCCAAAGTTTCTGGTTAACTGTGGACACATCCTACTTGGCTCTGGTTTCCACTGCAGCATTAGGTCAGGAGCAGTCCCAGTGGCTGTATGTTTGCTTCTCAGTAGTAGGTATGAGCCCGCCCATCAGAATCATGGGACATGCACAGCACAGGAATGAGACTCAGAGCTGATGTCAGAGTCCTTTATTTCACAGATGAAGAGACTGAGACACATGATGTAAAGGGTTTTGGCCAATATCCCATTGAGCCTCTTACTTGAATGATGTGATTGGGAGAAAAAAGGAAAGGCAAGCCAAGGTGCTGGATGTGCAAGGAATTCAAAGCCTAGCATATTTGGTTTTATTTACAGACTATCACTTGGTTTGTTTCCTAGAGGAGCATCTTCTCCAGTGGGATTCAAAGAAAGTGTGCGCAGGTGGGCCCTCACTTCCATTCTTTGTTTTATCAGAGAGGAAGGATCACAGCCTCCTCTCACACATTCAGAAACCCTGCCCTTTCTTCTGGGATTGCCTTTTCCTGGTTCTCCCACTTAGTTTAGGCTAGCTCTCCTGACCTGTCAATCCTTTAGTTTCCCTTTCTCACAGTGTGAAAGGAATGGATCCCAAACAAGAAAAAAAGAAAAAAGAAAAAAAAAAAAAAAACCGTTGTGATCTCCTGGCTGGTTTTGTTCTGAGCTACTTAACTTACTTTGGTCTAGCCTCAGGAAAAAAGGTCCTTTTTATTTTTTTTCCCAAAGTAAAGTTTTGTCTATTTACTATGGAAATTTTGTTTGTGTACTAGGTTGATTGAGGTCAAAAACACCATAAATTATCGTTATTAACCTCCACTTTATGGCCTTTATCTCCCACCACCACTAAACACAGAAGGAGGGAATAGGATACTGACATTTGATTCCCTGGTATAAAATAACTCCTCTATAGCTTAGTGAATTTAGGCTGGTTATACAAGGGAGTGGGGAGTGTCTTCAAAAAGTTCATGGAAAAGCTATGACAAAATTATGCATGGAATTTACAATATCTGTATCAAAATAAACTCGTATTTTTACTCCATCTTTCCATGAATCTTTAATGTCTCCCTCAACTAGCCACTAAAATCTTTCAATCAGTATCCATAAAATGATCACCTTCCACACTCAAATAGTTAAATCCAACAAGAAACAGCATGCTAATAAATGCCCAATGGAGAGTTTGCATCAAGGCAGTGAAATTTGCAGAGATGGAAAACATTTCCACATTTGTTCTTTAACCTGCTTCCCAGGTTTGGATAATTGTGGCTGCATCTTGCTTGGCCCTGGCTCTGAGGCCATGGTAAGCGCTTCCTAATATAGTCAGAGATTGCTTCAATGATGCTTTCTTTCCCTGCCTGTAAAGGACTAATACCTGTCCCGCTGGCCTCCCAAAAGACCATTCTGAGGCAGACGCAAGGTAAGCAAGGACGGAGACACCAAGTGGGAGAACCTTTATGGCCAGCCTCTGTGGCTGCCCCAGCATTGAAATTCTAACACTTATTGACTGTTTTGATCCACTTTTACCTGAACTACCTCAACAGATCAGTAGTCAATAAATATATGCCTAAGAAAAAAGGCAAAGAAGAGACAGGTTACAGTTATAACTTTTAGGATACGCTTTATGGTTTACACACCACTTACAAGTCACCATTTTTTTGATTCTTACAAGAAATTTTTTTAGGGAGGAAATCATTATGCTTTTTTCATCTCTCAGATGAAAAGGTAAGTCATTTAACCCATGAATTATTTGCCCAAGGATTGCTAATTTGAAGGCCATGGCAGAGCCAGAATTTGAATCCAGGTCCTCTGTCTAATTCCTCTGATCTTTCCTCGGAGTAAATTTCATTCTGTCCCCTCCCATCTTAGCAGGCACTAGTGATTTCAGGGCACCTGCTATTTCTTCCTGATTTCTTTTTTCTGTTATTTTCCCTCAACATCACACCCGAGGAACAGCACAGAGGCGGTGGCTGACAGGGGAAATGGTGAGGCCTGATCTGAAATTCAGGGTCAGCTTCTCATTGTTTGGGGGCCTGAAGGTAAATTTTTGTAGAAGGGAAGTGAAGAAAATAAACAACTCGGTCTTGGCCAACTGTTCTCCAAGGCAGGCCCGCTTTCCTGAAAGACAAAGACAGAACACACATGATCTTCAGGTAGCACTGATGCCTAGAATGAATTGATATCCTAAATTGTAACCTGCAAAACCTGAGCAGGCAGAGGGCCTATTAGCCCTAGGGCTTTATGTTCAGTAACTGATTTAAGTCGGACAACCACCTGAGTTCACTAAACACAGAAAGGAGAACTTCCGGATCACAAAATCCAGTGTTTCTATAGTTAGGCAGGTGAGGGTCAGGGGTGGAGCTGAAGGCTGTAGGGCAATAGGAGTGGGAGATCTGGGAGAAAAAAAATGGAGAGATAAGATATTTGTGGGACACAGATATAGTTTGTTATCTGTTGATGAGGACATGCATAGTATTCTCAACTGGACTGAGATGTGTATCATGCTGGGTAAAATCTCTTTACAATCTAAATGATGTATAGTGATTGAATGTATAAATAATAATGATAATAATAAGTGGATATCTAGTCTAAAAGCTTCCCAAATAATCACTTAATACAACAACAAAAGCAGATGGCAAAACAGCAAAACTCTGTGTTATTTTCAATCCTTAGAAAACTGTCCAGACTATATCCAAGTCAACAGAAGAGTAGAGAGTCTAAAGTACTTTTCTCATGACTTGTTTTCTTTCTTGGTGCTGGGATCTCATGGAATTGAATTATCCTCTGTATTGGAACTGTTTTACCCCCCTCCTTGAGGGGTCCTTTCATATGCAGAGGTCCTTCCACATCCCGAGGGCTTTTTTATCTAATGTTAGGTCTGAGTCTTGATTCTTCTGCCCACAGAGCACACTCAGCACTTGCCTGACCACATCCCACTCCTGCTATGTGTGCACTGGAGGCAGAAGGGAGCAGATCCCGTCCAGCTCCTCCCACTTTGCAGCCATGTGTTTGGGGCAAAATAAGTACTTCTTTTAGAGATTGGTGAAAATATATGTGTGTGTATGGGTTTATAAAGAGTTTTAATTTTTATTTATTTATTTTTTAGAGATATTTTTGCTGTAAGGTGCATGCACTTGCCAGAGAGACAGAGAGACAGAAAGTAAGAAACCACCACCCCGCCCCAGGGAGATGACCACACTGCAATATCTTCTCTTCCATTCTTCTCTCAAAATTTTGGGCACACACGCACATGCTCCCAGGGTGAGTTTTAAGCTGCTGAGTCTAGGACTCAAATCATGGGCAACTATGTGACAGTCCAGTGATATAACCATTATGCCATCTGCTGGTCCCTTTTCTAGAGATTTTTTGCTACAGGCACATGCTCTGTCTAGGGAGAGACAGAAAGTAAGAAATCACCCCCTGGGGGGATGGCCATGACACAATCTCTTCTTTCTCTATTCTCCTCTCAGGATTCTGGGTGCACACACACATGTACCTGGTGTGAGTTTCAAGCTGCTGGGTCTAGCACTTGAACCATAGTCAACCATATGGGAGTCTAGCACCTTAACGACTATGCCATATGTGTGTTTATTGATGAAGAAAGACAAAGAAGGTATCATCAGAATCAGCCTGGATCTGTCCAAGGCAGCACAGTGCAGTGAGAAAGCACGGACTTTGGAGTCACACAGGCATTAGGGCAAATTCCAGTTCCTCCCTTTCGATAGTTATCAGGAAAATGGTATTGTCTCAGGAAATCAATGTATATTTTAAATTAATGATAGACAAACTATAATGCATTACACAGCATGTGTTCTATTTGGTGGTTAGTAATTTTTAAGAGATAGTGTTAGAAAAAAACATGTTTATTTTTAATAATACTGAGGTAGGCATTGAGTCCTGCCTCTGCCACATGACTCTTATGACTTTAGCTTCCATTCTTGGTTAAGATTCCTTGTTTCTAAACTGATAGTAATTCAGATCTTCTAACACATACACTATAACAAGCTCTATGCACACAGTTGTCGTTATTTCATTTTCTGTCTCATTCATTGTCTTATTTTCAGGGCTGAACGTTCAACACAAAATAGATGTGGAATTGAGAAATTGACAAACTACTAGAGATAACCTATGCAACATATTTAACTCAATACCTGGGAATATACTAAATTTTTTCATTATTAAGTTAAAAATACCCTTTTGGAAATGGTTGGCTTAAATAGAGTTTCATTCTTCCCTACCTTTCAAGTTGTATACCATATAAATGTACTAACTTGATTTTAAAAAAGTAACTAAGATTAAAAGGACAAAGCACTTCTTCAGGGAGTCTTACAGAGTACATCCCAGTCTAGCATTTGGAGTCATAGTAGTGGGAAGCAGCCTCTTTTCCTTGCTGCCTCCCCATCTCCTTATTATAAATAAACTCTATTTCTGTGTGATGGGCAGCCTTCAAAGAACTTGGGGAATTTAAATATTCTATAGAGGCCAGGTGTCTAGTCTTCTTTGTGTGTAAGAGGTGATCTGTCCTCAGTGTTCTGGAAAACAGAACAAGGAGAAGCTGAAATCTCCCTCCAAGGTCAGGGAGGGCTTAGGAAATAAGGGAGGTCTGAAGTTATGCCCAACCCAAAGAATTGGGGGCTGCAACAACAGCAGGATGGAGTCACACTGGATGGGGTGACTGGAGACATTCCCACCACAGAAGGGGCCGCAAGGAACAGGGGAGGGGTCCTGCACTCCCACATCTATCTTTATTGCAGCTCACCTAGTGAGAAAGGCAGAAAGGCTTCTCTTTTCTTAAACTGTCCATTCTCCAAAAAATGTTCCGGATTGAAGGTGTCAGGGGTGGCCCACTCTGTGGGGTCCCTGTGCAGTGCGGTCAAATTGGTCAGGATCATGGTTCCCTAGAGAAGACAGCAAAGACTCAGGCAGGACTTGACTCATACAACATACACACAGTAGATGGGTAGCATCCTCAGACTCCCATACAGGGACCCGATCACATTTTGAGCTTCCCCACCTCCCCTAACCCATCCTCTCCTGACTCTAGTGCTGCCCCCAAGTCCTTCCTCTGTTCCTTTGGGTACCATATAATGATGGGTTGGACTTTCCTGCTAGGAATTTTACCAGGGGAAATTTGGCTCCTCATGATTGCAGATTGGATCTTCTCTATAGGGACAGGTCAGTGTAGGATCTGGGAAAGCACACATATGCATCAATGAAAGAGTAATGTGACAGCTATACTATAGTCAGTCCACTCCACCAAAATCAACCCAGCTGCTTTTGAAGCTGTAACTGTGGCAGGTATTCAAAGGTAAAAGTGTTTTATTCATTTGTTTCTGTCATGATCTTCCCAAGTGTCTGGTACACTGTACTTATTTCCCCACAATATATTTAAAAACAGAATTAAATAGTCCAGAGAAAGGAACCCCTATCCATCCAGGTACTTACCAAGAAGCCTAGGAGCCAACCACAGTGAGACTTTCCCTCATTTTCTCCATCCAACATAGTGCAAGACTGGTCAATATTTCCTTCAATTTATCTTTCCTTAAATTTCTCCAATTCATTTCCACCCAGTCCAGGATACCACCGTCCATGCCTAGACTCATGCAATAGCCTCCTTACTATGTCCTGTATTCTCTCCTGCACCTTTCAGTCAGCTTCACACCTTAAAGCAGGTTAAATGTTCCACAGGCATGATCTCATTTTACCTCCAAATGGAATCCTGTGAGGTAGATTTAATGCATTTTTATACTAAAGAAATTCAAGCTCTCAGTGGTTTAAAGAAAGCCCAAAGTCACACCATTGGATGAAGAAGAGCCATGATTCAAACTAAATCTATCTAATGTCAAAGCCATGATTGTGGGCTCTGTAGGATACATCATCTTTATTTTTCAGTTTCCAGGATAGTTATTCATGCAAACACTAAGAACCAGTTGCAGAAGAAGCTGATTAAACTGAGCTGGCTCCCTGGAATTGCTAGACAAATGTAGTCACCTATGGAATTTAGACTTCAGCCTTCACCCACAAGATAGTCAATCAAAAAGGAGATAGTAAATGTAAATACTGCTTTTGATGGCTCTTCCTGGATAATAACCAAGCAGTGTGCAACAGGTATGCCCTTCTGGTTCTCCCTCTTCAGATCATCTTTAGGTACAACACACTCAGACTGACTTATAAAAATGGGAATAGATCTACAGAGGCTGACATAGGTGGTGAGAAAGTACAAGAAGGAACTACTAAGGTGCAGTGTGAAGACAGGGCAGGAGGGTGCACAGGAGAGCTGTCTACAGAGATCATGAGCTTGGTGGGTGGCATCAGAATTCCCTTCACGAAGACAGGGAATTTCAATAGGGACCAACTGAGAAAAATTGTAGGGAGATGTTTTTAAAGCCAAAGTAAACCTACTCTGGTGATGGGAGCATGTTGCGGAACAAACAGAACAGACCTGGTTCTGAACCCTACCCTTGTCACTTTGCAGTTGTGAGGTCTCGGGCAAGCATAATAACTCTGAGCCTTGACTTCTCACTTTGTAAAATGGGAGTATCAGAGTTATTCTGGGAACAGACTAAGACATTTAGAAACAGGCTAGGGAGTCCATGACACACAGCCATTACTTAATATATGTTCAACCCTTCCTCTCCATTTCCAATATTTAATATTGCACTCACTTGGATTATCTTCCCAATGATATAGTGAGCTCTCTATCATAAGTCTATAAGTGCAACCTAGAAAAAAAAATGTTGAAACACTAGCATTCATGTGCTACTGCCACAAGTGATCTCTGATGCCCTTCAAATTTTAATATTCTATATTCCTAGGATTGTGAAGCAAAATCTTCCAAACTCATTCTGGCAGGTCTGTAGTTCAGGGAGATTCTCTACAACATTAAGAAATGAGTTTTGTGCCAGAGTCTGAGAACTGCTGCCTGCTGTGTGCCCACAGAGATTCACAAAGCTCCTCACCATAGTAAAAACACTGAGGATCCCCAGCAAAGAACAGCCAGTCTCTGCTAAACATATCTGACCCAGGGTCTTCTCCACTTCCCACAGTACATATTTATGTCTAGTGAAACAAATCTTCTAAAGATCATGTATGGAGGAGAAATTTTATTAAGTTAAATATTGAATAACTCTCCCCACTTAAGAGATTCCTATGGTAAAAATAAATGTCACTTTTCAAGTTCGAGTTCTACCATTTGACAGATGGAGATCTGAGGCTGGGAGTGCCTAATTACCTTGGGCAGGTGGTATCCAGCCAAGGTGGTATCAACTGTCACTTCCCTGGGAACATTCACAGGGATGATGTTGCCCATCCTCTGCACCTCATGGATGAAGGCGTTGGTGTAGGGCATGGACTCTCGGACGGCCATGCTTGGCTGCTGCCACTGGCCAAGCACTCTGTCAATCTCAGCATGCACTTTTTCTGGAAAACAAATAAACAGGAGATTCTATTATTTTTCAATGATTTATGTTTTCTTCAAAAGATGTAGGAGTTGTCTCTCATATCTCATTTATTATATTTCAGTTCCTAACTAAGTTGCAAACAACTCAACCTGGTTAGTTCGTAAACCTTCAAAGGACGTATCTAGACAACTGCCAACTTTATACTTTCCGTGAGGCTGACTGGGCTAAGGAATGGAATAACTAGGATCAACATGGCTAGCTTATAAGTAAAAGACATTTGTTTGTCTGAATGTGGGAGCCTGGGAAGTCTAAGGTCAAGGCATGAGCTGATTTATTGTCTGGGAAGGATCCATTCTCTGGTTCACATATGGCACTTTCTCTTTTAGTCCTTAGGGTGGGAGGACCAAGGCATCTCTCAGAGTCTCTTTCATAAGAATGCTAATTCCAGTTATAAAAACTAATTACCTACCAAAGGTCCCACCTCCTAATACCATTACATCAGTATTTAGCTTTTCCTCTCTCTTGGTGGAAAGGTAGCCCTAGTGGTAAGCCATCTAGAGAGCTTCAAGAAGAGCATCATTGCAGACACAACAGAATAAGTTGGAAAGAGCTAGAATTCTAAAAGCCTTGCTGAGTCCCACTTAGACTTGTATTTTTACCCAAGAGAGAAGTAAACTTCTACCTTTTTTTTTTTTTTTGGTTTTCACTAAAAATATTTAATTAGAAAAAAATACAGATAAAATTTATCATCTTAGTTATTTTTATGTGCACAATTTTTTAGTATTAATCATATTAACAATGTTGTACAATGAAGGCACAGAACTTTTTCATTTTGCATAACCATAACTCTATATCCATTAAACAACTACCATGTATCCTCCCCAGCTACCTCCATTTGAATTCTGTCTATGAGCTTGGCTACTCTAAATAACTAGTAAGTACATCATATAGAGTTTGTGTTTTTGTGACTGACTTCTTGAATTTAGCATGATATCCTCAAGGTTCATCTACATTCTAGTATGTGTCAACATTTCCTTCCTTTTTAAGGCTGAATGACATTCCATTTTTACATATTTTGCTTATCCATTCACCATCAAAAGACACTTGAATTGCTTCCACATGTTGACTACTGTGGATCCCTGCTATGAACATGGGTGTAAACTTCTATCATCTTAATCCACTGTCATTTTGGAGCCTCTACAAAAGCTAAATAAATATATTCTAACTCAGTAGCTTTTAAACTTTTTTAAAAATGTAAACTACAGTGGATATACATTTTATGTCATGAACCTGAAAGCATATAAAGTATTCCCACATATAAAGTATGCATTATATATCTCTGTGTAAAAAAAAAGTTTGATTAAAAAAACTTACCCTTAGTACATGGGAAATACTGTGCTCCTTTCTATTCTGTTTTTTTTTTTTTTTTTTTTTTTTTTTTTTTAGGTTTTTTTTTTTTGGGGTGGGGCGGTTAGCCAAGACAGAGAGAGACAGAAAGTGAGAAATCACCCCCAGGGGGGATGGTCATGCCACAATCCCTTCTCCTCCATTCTCCTCTTGGGATCTTGGGCATGCACGCACATGTGCCCAGTGTGAGTTTTAAGCCACCGGGTCCGGGACGCGAACCGCAGTCAACTATGTGAGAGTTCAGTGGCATAGCCATTATGCTAACTATTGGTTCCCTATTCTGTTTTTATTTTAGGAGGAAAAAGTCAGTCTTGTCTCACTAAATTGATGTTATATCCCATTAATAAACTTTTCCTCGTATTATGAACAACTGCCTGAGCCCTGATGCCTGTCCTTTCAGTGGCAGCATTAGATTCTCACTAGAGCAAAAACTCTATTGTGAACTGTGCCTGTGAAGGATCTAAGTTATGCAGTTCTTATGAGAATCTAATGCCTGATGATCTAAGGTGGAGCTGAGGCAGTGATGCTAGCACTGAGAGTGGTTGCATATACTGCATTATGGTGACTTGTATAATTATTTCGTTATAATGTAATAATAATAGAAATAAAGCGCATAATAAATGTAATGCCTTGAATCATCCTGAAACCATCCTCTTCTCCTGGTCTGTGGAAGAATTTTCTTCAATGAAACCAATTCCTTGTGGCAGAAAGGCTAGAGACCCCTGTCTCAAAAGAAGGGAAGGACTCAATCAGACTTTCACATGAGGAATAACTCTTCCATGGAACTTAGCACAAAGTCAGTTGACTTCGCAGTCTTCCCTTCCTAGATGCAGAGCTTCTTGAGGACAGGAATTCTGTTACACTTGGACTCATCATAATTGTGACAGATAATATGAAAAAAAAAAAAAACGTAAGGTCCTAGGGTCACATCATCTCATGATTGCTCTCACAATCATTCCTTTTACCATGCTCTCTTCTGACCCCAACTTTGGGTAGCATGTGCCAGGAGACATGATTCTACCTGGGACCAGGCATACTCATGGACGTACTCACCTTGGATTTGGGGGTAGATGGCCAGGTAAAGCAGACCCCAACGCAGTGTTGTAGAAGTTGTCTCAGTTCCAGCAAAGAAGAGGTCCAGGGTGGTGCAGATGAGATTTTCTTCATCAAAACTTGAAGCAGCATTGCCCTTGTACTAGAAAGGACAGTGTTTATAATATCGTTCAGGGGATTCATTGATGCAATACACTGGAGCTTTATATTAGGGAGCAGGTTGGGACCAGTAGGTGGCAAGGTGGTTAAGGGGTTGGGCTCTTACAAGGCTAATACAGTTTGAGTCCTGACCTAGTGGCTTGAAAAATTATGCTAGGCACATGTGCATGTGTGTTCAAAATCTTGAGAGGAGAATGGAAAAGAAAGGATTGTGGCATGGTCATCCACTCTTGGGGGGATTTTTCATTTTCACTTTCTCTGACTCTCCAGTCCGAGCACACATGCTCTGTGACAACTCTCCTTTACCACCTTCCACACCCCCAAAAAAGAAAGGAAGCAGAGGTTTATAGCAATAAGTGCTGGAAGCTTTTGGTTAGCTTCCAAAGTGTACAGTGCCCAAGTGTATGAATGTCAACACAACTATTTCCTTATGACAATAATTTGGAAGAAGCTACTAGTATATACTGGGGTGGGGGGTGGGGGGAAGGAAGACAAATAAAAACAGACTTAGCTTCCAAGATCAGTCATATTTTTCATTAGCTGTGTGATCTAGGATGAGTTACTTAACTTCTCTGTGCTTCAGCTTTCTGTTTTATAAATTAAAAAACAAAAACAATATACAGCCCTTAAGATGACAGGGCCAGCAGGTGGCATGGTAGTTGGGCTACTGGGCTCCCACATGGCTGAACATGGTTAAAGTCCTAGATTGGCATTTTAGGTACGTGTGTGTATGTGCCCAAAATTCCAAGAGGAGAATGGAGGAGAAGAGGCTGTGATGTGGTCATCCCCCTGGGGAGGGAGGGTGATTTTTCACTTTCCCGCTCTCTGTTTCTCCAGTGAGTGCATGTGTCCAATAGCAAAAACCTAAGAACAAAAACAGAAACAAAAGCAAAACAACAACAAAATACAAAAAAAAAAACAACCAAAAAACAAGGGCAAAAATATTTTTTAAATGTTCCTACTTATACTAGAATGAACTTGATATCAGAATGAACTTTGCAGATCTGATTAAGTTAAGGATTTGGAGATGAGAAGATTATCTTGGATTCTCTCTGAGTTAAGGATGATCACGAAAGTCTTGATAGAAGGTTGAGAGAGGTTACAGAGTGAAAGTCAAAGGGAGAAAATGTAAGGATGGAAGCTGGGGTCAGAGAGAAGATAAGATACTACAATGCAGACATTGGAAATGAAGCTAGAGGTCACAAGCCAGGGACTATCAAAACCTTCTAAAAAAAACAACCCAGTTAGTGTGATGGCTATGTCGCTCGATTCCCACATAGTCGACCACGGTTCATGTCCCGGACCCGGTGGCTTAAAACTCACACCGGGCGCATGTGCATGCGTGCCCAAGATCCCGAGAGGAGAATGGATGAGAAGGGATTGCAGCGTGACCATCCCCCCTGGGGGGTGATTTCTCGCTTTCTGTCTCTGTCTGTCTGGTGAGCACACGCGCCCTATAGCAAAAACCTCTCCAATAAAAAAAAAAAAAAAAAAAAAAAGCTTCTAGAAGCTGGAAAAGTCACAGAAACAGATCTCGATCTAGAGATCTAGAGCCTCCAATAGGAGCCACCTGCCAACACCCTGATTTAGCCCAGTGAATCTGACTTCAGATTTCTGCTATCTGAAAAAATAAATCTGTGCTGCTGTAAGTGACAAAGGTCATGGTGATCGGTTGGAGCAGCAAATGGAAAGTAATTTACCCCTGTTTTTTCACAACAAAACACAGAAAACAACTTTGTTTTCTTCACCTTTGCCATTTCCTTGAGGTAAGCATCAATAAAGTCTCTTGTTTCCTCAGGATTCCAGTCTCTCTTATGTTTTTCAATCACATGAGCAACAAACGATTTCAGTTTTTCCCAGTTTTTGAAGAGAGTTTGGTGGGGTCCAGGAAGGAATCTCATTATCCGTGGGAAGATATTGTAGAGCTAATTGAGAGAAACAAAACAATCGTGGAGATTATAGGGTACCACTTTCCCACCTTTTAAGACAACAGAAACAATCTTCTTTTTCAATCTATTTTATCTGTCTAAATCTTGGGCTTCTTTTATCTCCCTTCCCTTTCTTAGCTACTATTTCAACTGTCCATGCAAAATACATTCATCCTTAAACTACTTCTTACCACCACAACTGCTTGCCACCCTAGTAGAAATCACTGATATTTCTTACCTGGCTATTGTAACAGTGCTCAACAGTTTTCCTGATTCCTTTCTTAATTCCAATCCCAGCCTCCTTTGCACAGATCTCATAGACGGATCATTGAACAGGTTAGCCATACTATTTTACTCCTAATTTCTCAATCTTCCAGTAGCTTTCCAATACACTCAGAAAGAGTCTTGGGACCAGCACTTGGTGTAATGGCTATGTTGTTGGACTCCCATTTAGTCGACCGCGGTTCGAGTCCTGGACCCAATGGCTTAAACTCACACCGGGCATGTGTGCGTACGTGCCCAAGATCCCAAGAGGAGAAAGGAGGAGAAGGGATTGCAGCATGGCCATCCCTTCTGGGGGGTGATTTCTCGCTTTCTGTCTCTCTGTCTCTCTCTGTCTTTCTGGTGAGTGCACGCACCCTATAGCAAAAACCTCTCCAAAAAAAAGAAAAGAAAAGAAAGAAAAGTCTTATACCATTCCTCAGGTGTGTAAACCCTACAGAGCTGGAATCTATACATTCCTATCTCCTCTTTTCCATCTCTCCCTGCCATCTTACTCTTACTATCTACAGTCTAGTCATAACAACCTCTGTGATCACATCAAGGGCATTCCATTGCAGTTGCTACTCCTTAAGATATATATATATATATATATATATATATATTAATTATGGTATGGCAGGTAAAGTGATTGAAGATCAACACTTTTAATGACAATCCAAAACATTATTAAAATAAAAAACTCACATCAATACACACACAAACACATACTGAGGTGGTGAGGCAATTTCAAGGATAAGGCTTAGGAGGGGAAAGCTCAAGAGGGTAAATTCAACAACTAGGGTGGATTTTCCCCCAGGAAGTGTTCAAATTCAGGAAAGTGGCTGAGAAACTGAAACGTTTAGCTGAGTTTTAGACAGACTCACTGGCTTAAAGGGACAAAAATTGGAGTACAAGGCCCCAAACAAGGAAGAGAAGAGGTCTGAACCCTAAACAGTGACCCCCTATGATTAGAAGATTGATAATATCAAGTGTTGGTGGGTATGTAAACAGTGCAAAGTTCGTAAATCTTTAGGCAGCTTTTGTGTCCAAATGTATGTACAACAGAAATGAACAGATGTGCCAGCACAAATATTTGTACTAGAATGTCATGGAAGCGTGATTGATAGCATCCCAAACTGGGAATAACCCAAAAGTCCATCAATAGAGAATAGATAAATAAACATCAGTATAGTCACACAATGGAATACTCATCGGCATTACCGAAAGAGCAACCAACACCAATGAATCTCCAAACAAGCTGATCAACTGATCTGGAGCAACTCAAGTCTGATAATGGCCTGAACTCTCTGTTCTGATATAGAGAAACTTGTGAGTGGCCTTGAAATGCCCAGGGCTGATAGCTGCCTAGGCTTTCTGGTCCCCTGCAAGTTAGCTACCCTTCCCCTGAGCTTGCAGGCCTTGATTTCCTGCTTCTCTGCCAGCTCTGTGTTAGAGCAGACACTGAGGCCCTTCCTGAGAGGACACTCCAAGCTGAAACCGTCCCTCCCCAATTCACCCATAAAAGACTGTGCTTAACCCCCAGGTGGGCTGGAGATTCATCCATGCACCACTATGGACTAAAGAGTTCTCCTTTTTTCTCTCCAGAGTGCTGTGTTTTCCTTCCTCAGTATCTGTTTTCCCACAGCACACCAAGAACTAGACACAGAACAGCACCCCAAGAGGAGAAGGGAGATGGATGGGTTGGGGAAGACCATAGAGAGAAGGGACTCAAAGATAGTGCCAATACCGATATTCTTTTAAAGCAGAACAACATATCTGTATAGGTATATATCATCTGAAATACTTTACAAGAATATTGGAAATGTTTCTTGTGGATATTTAGTCTTATACAAATACATACAAAAATACTGATGTTAACAGCTAGATTTCAAATAAGTGTGTGTTTACCTTAATTTTTAAATGTTATATTGTAGCTTAAAAAAAACAAACAAACAAACCAAAAGAATCCATTTGTAGTTGACATCTGTCCCAGGATCCTTAACACAGATTTGGAAGAACTGCCTTACCTCACATAGCATTGAAGCCTCCAGAAATGTGGCTTCATCCAGTAGCTTCAGCAGCTCCTGAAACTCACTATCTTGGTATTCAAAGCGCTTCCCAAAGGTGATGGAGCAAATTACATTGGAAACTGCATTGTTTATTTTGAAGTGAGGGTCAAAGGGCTGTCCTAGAGGAGGAGGAAGGTGGAAGAAGGAAATGAATTCTTCAGATTGTTTGTTTCTATTTACTACTGAGCATCTACTCCATATGATGTAAGATATATCTACTATGGAACCACCTAAGATGCTCTGGCTTGACACCCTATGCCGGGCATAACATGCAGAGAAAAGTAGGTCAATGCAAGATAAGTCAAACTGATGGCCAGGAATTAAACTCAGTATTCTAGAACTCTTTGAGGGCAGGGTCACAGTTAGTTGTTCATTGATCTATCCTTAGTGCCTAGCCCAGGACTGGGCACAGGACAAGCAATTAGGCACTTAATAAGTATCTGTTTGGGCTAGTAGGTGGTATAGTTGTTAAAGTGCTAAATTCCTACATGGCCAATCATGGCTCAACTCCTAAACTTGGTGGCTTGAAAATCATGTTGAGTGTGTGTGTGCACACACCCAAAATACTGAGAGGAGAATGGAAGAGATGGGAATGCAGCATGACCACCTCCCTGAGAGGCGATTTTTCCCTTTCCCTCTCTCTGGTGAACACATGAACCCTATGGGGAAAAAATAAAGAAAGGAAAGAAAGAAAAATATTAAGAAAACAAAAGTGTCTGTTTAATAAATGAACAGGCCACAGTCTCATGTGCTATCCTGTGAAATACTCACCATTCTCCTCCTTCATTGCCTCAGCGAGGTAGTGGGCCTCCTCCTGAATGCGCTCCTCTAGGCTCTTCTTTCCTAAACCAAAGTTCCTGAGTGTCATCAGGGTGAACCTTCTTTGCTCCTTCCATACCTGGCCATTGGACATGATCAGTCCTGGGAAAAACAAAGCCAGCATTCTGACATTCTGATTTTATAATATGAACATCCAGCAAATGGTACAGGGATGTGTGTCAGATAGAAAGGAGAAAAACATTAAGACACTTGAACATTGTTCCGACACATAATCCCAAAGCAGTGGATATAATGGCTAATGTTTAGCGATTGCCTTCAGTGTCAGCACTTTGGTAAATATTTTTCAACATACACTATGTACTTTAGTGTTCACAGAAACTCTCTAGGGTAGGTACAATGATTACCACCCCCCTCCCCACCATTTCACTAGTGAGAAAACTGAGGAACAGAAGATAAAGCTAAATAAACTTCATAAGATCACACAGTGAGTAAGCACCTAACCATGCATTCATATTTAGGTCTGCTTGATTCCAAAGTCCATGCTTCGTCATTAGTTATATTAGTTAAGTATTTATGTTACACTAAATGCCTGAAAGGACTCATAGATAAGACAAACTCCATACTCTTAAAGAGGTACAAAAAAGTTTTATAGAAGTGGTCTTATTTAAACTAGACCCTAAAAAATGATGAACTGATTCAAGAAAGGAAAGAGGGAAGATCAGCCTCGTAGGACAGTGATAAAGTGCTATACGTGGGGATCCAAACCTTACAAGGCCAACCAAGACTAAGTCCTGGTTCCTGCAGTTTGAAAGACACAGTGGGAGGATATGCATGCATGCCCCAAATCCTGAAAAAATGAAGAAATGGAGGAAAGAAGGATTGTGGTGTGGCTACATCCCATTAAGAAGTATGCTTTCTCTCTCTGACAAGTGCATGTATTCCCTGGTAATAAAAGAAAGGAAAGGAAAGAAAAAAAGGAAGGAAGGAAGAAAGGAAGGAAGGAAAGAAGGAAGGAAGGAAGGAAGAAGGAGGAGAAAAATAAAAGAAAGAGGATTGAATATTCTATACAGAAAGAATAACATGGCAAAGAAAAAAATGGTGTAGTCAACAGACCATTGTATGTTTTATAGAAGATAATGCCAGGCCACTTTACATTTATTCACTTGAAGAGTACTCTTCAGCCCTTAAATGTCTAGCTTTGGCCTTTACCATTCAATGAAACAGCCCTCAGTGTTGTCAAATACAGGGAAATCTTCATCTTCCTCATGTCCTTCCCTTCCAATGGTGCTCAGAATACTGCACTCCACATATTTTCTTCCAATGTTCTCTCAGAAACTTCCCATACTCTTTGTTAGTTCATTTTCAATCAAATGTTGAAATGGTAGAGTTCTTGAAAATTAGGCCTAAAGTCTTTGCTTTTCTAAAGTCTTTCCTTTTCTCACCCTCTATTCCATTTCTGGAAATCTCTTACTATCTCTTAATATTCATATAATTTCTCTTGATAGTGACCATCTATGTCTGGCCCTAAGCTCCAGGCCCCTAAATACAACTGCCTGCTTGACTTTGCCAATATAAAAGCATTTTAAATTCATCATATCCATGATTTCATTTATTATTTTCTTCATACAACACTCCACCCAAGCCAAGTCAAACCAAACACCTTCTCCTCTTTTTAAGTGTTTCTCCTTTCCACCATCTACCATTGGTGTCACCTCAGCACCTCGTTCTCCTTATATCTAGGTCATTATATCTTGTTAGGTTTACTCCATGAATATCTTTTTTTTTGGGGGGGGAGAGGTTTTCGCTATAGGGCACGTGCACTTGCCAGACACAGAGAGAGACATAGAGACAGAAAGCAAGAAATCACCCCCCAGGGGGGATGTTCATGCCGCAATCTCTTCTCCTCCATTCTCCTCTTGGGATCTTGGGCACGCACGTACACGCGCCCGGCGTGAGTTTAAGCCACTGGGTCCGGGACTCGAACCGCGGTCGACTACGTGGGAGTCCAGCGACATAGCCATTACGCTAACTGCTGGTCCCGACTGACTACTTTTTTAATTCCTCAAGTTCTCTGGCCTTTTTCTCACCTTGGAGACTTTTCATATCCTATTTCCTCTGCCTAATAGTTCCTTCACTTTATTAAATGAGTTGTCACTTACTTACATTACCTTTTACTAAATCTCAGGACTACATTAAAGGAGCCTAATAAGTGTGCCTTACAGTTATCTTCATAACACTATAGGATTTTAATGATTATAGTTCATTGATACCATCTTTTTCTCAGTGGAGCATACATTACATAAAAACATGGATTTTACCTATCGTGCTGACAAAGTACCCACACCATGCTTCCCATGGCAGATAATACAGATGTATGTAGGATTAATTGATGAAATATTTCAAGGAGGAATTACAGAGTATCTGAATTATAAAGTGCCTTGATAGAGTGATCGTTTTGAGATGTTTAAATTTCAGTTTTTAAATATTTTGCTTTATTTAATGAGAATAATCTTAAGTTCTCATGCCAACCTGTTATAACATAGACTGGAAATCTTGAGACAACTTGTGGGGCATGGCCTTAATCACAAAGTCTAAGGAATTAGAGGCAAGAAGCCACAGCAGCAGAAGAAAGCAGATAGACCTCATTTTCCCAAGGACGCCGTCTGGAAGGGGTAAGCAGAAACAGAACACACTGCGTCTTCCTCTGTTACAGCTGGGTAATGTGATTACTTCGCAGTCAAAGCACATAGACTGAGTTGGCGCAGGACATGTGACTTCTCCCAAACTTCTATTAGGGCTGACCCTGCCAGATCCTCGAGGGGGTGCCCTCTTTGAGCAAATATGAGCACCCAGCTTCCCTTAATTGCAGGAATTTTATAATCCTTATCATATTATAATTCTGGGCTGGTTTATGGGGATTTTAGAAAGTTACAGTCAGAGAGGTACCTTGAACAGACCATAGGAATGTCAAACGTACACATTACATTGGTCAAGAAACTTACCATTCTTCTTAAAGACACGTTCTCGAATGGGGTTGATGGGGCGGTTCACAAAGTTTGTGTCCATGTGGACAAGGACATCTTTGATTAAGGGTAATCCACTGATAACAACTGAAGACACATCGCCAAGCTGCAGACTCATAAGGTTCCCATATTTCTTCACAAACTGAAAAATAGTCACAGTTGAATATGCACTTGTCTATGTGTTCATGAATAGAGGGTGTGTGTACGGAACTGAGGAGCTCATACTGAGGGGACTGTGTGCTTGTGTGTGTGTGTGTGTGTGTGTTGGGGGGGTGGGGAATGTGCACCTGGGTCTGACAGGAATGTTTCTATTTCCTTTTCCCCTGTTCTCAACTTGACTTAGAGTCAATTCACTGTAGCATGTAGAAGTTTCCTTATAAAATATTTTATCATGTATTTAACCAACATGAGTTGAGTGAATATTCATCATGTGTCCCCAGAACAAGGTCTGAAGTTAACACTGTAATAAAATAAATGAGGTCTCTAAAATCAAGCATCTTAGAGTCTAGGGAAGGCAGAAAATACAGCATATCTGACCTACCAAAGAAGACCAAGATACGGTTAGTGTAAAGCTGGTGTAGCAAGCATGGAGTCCTAAGTAACTAATCTGTTTATCCAGAAGAGAATTCTCCCTTCCTAGACAAGGCATAGAAAATAGGAACACATGTTAGATAATAGGAAGTACATAGTGTGGTGGCCAGGTGTGGAGAAACGCATTGTAACTCTGAAGTTTTCTGACAATCTTGGCTTTATAGTTCCTAAGTTGTGGGCTTCTGGGAAATGGCTTCCCTTTTTAAGCTTCTGCTCCCCAGCCAATCAAAGGCAGAAGATTATGCCTCCCTCAAAGGGTCCTGTGAGGAAGGAAAAACAGCAATGCAAAAGGCACTTTGTTTTCTGGTTCTGGGCATGGAGCCACATAGAGTCTCTGAGAATGAAAGAGCTCTGTGTACAAAGGAATATCAGCGTGCACTCACGATGGCTAGAGGACCACGGCCTGCTGTGTGTAGGAGGACGGCACTGTAGGTCTCAGATGGCCATGTTCCCTTGGGCCCTATTAAGAATCTTTCATGTTTTGTCTCATTAACCTCACAACCACCCTACAGTGGTAATGATTTTCCCTGTTCATCAGAGAAAGAAAATGAGTCATAGCTGGAGAAACATATCCAAGGTGACAAAGCTTTTGAGTGGTCGAGGCAATCTGCCAGGCACTGTGCAAGGACTGAGGACAAGGACATGAACCTGAGATGGTTCCAGGACCACAGAGTTTAGCTGAAGGGAGAGAATAAAAGTGAGAATGAGAATGACAGAGTAAGGGCAGGGAAGAGGGAGAGAGAGAGTGCAAGAGTCTGTATGTTCAGGAATCCACACGAATGTGCAGGTTTGTGCAAGATGGGTGGATGACAGTGATGGTCACTAACCTAGTTCCTTTTCAAGCTGCTTATTTAAGCAAATGCACTAAAGAGACCCCACACCACCTTTGCCTGTCCATCTATGTCTAGCTGCACACAATGGTGTCAAATGGAAGGCCCATTTCCTCCATGTGGCTGTCAGCCCTCCTCTGATCTTGATCTCCATGTACTAACACTCCACCGTGTCACTCTTAGAGCCCTGGGGTCACACAGCCTCCATCAGAGCAGATACAATGAAGTCAGTTTTATCCCTTCTTCCTGTTCCCGTGTTAAACACCGAGACTGCATGTAGTCCTTTCATCATTCTTTCAGTTCAGGCCCTCCATCAATCTTGGTTCATCTCCAGCAAAATCTATGTTCTGTCTTGCTAGGAAAGACAGAACCAAAATTCAATCTCAAGTTAGTGTGTCTCCAATGTACACATTTTTGCTTTTAAGAAATGGTAATAATAAATCCATTCAAATCATGTAGTTATTTTTTTTTCATCTTGCTGAATGTCTAGATGAACTTCATAAGAAAGATTTCTTGACTAATTTACAATAGTTGGTAAGAATGGTTTAGAAATGACGGGAAAAAAATCTCAAGGTAAGCTAAGTGACTTTTTTTTAAAAAAAGAATTATTTTATTTAACTTTATTTATTTATTTATTTTAATTTGACCAGAGAGGGACACAGTGAGAAAGACGAGACAGAGCGAGAGAGAGAGAGAGACAGACAGAGAGAGAGAGAGAACGGGAAACTGGGAAAGTTCAGGACTCGAACCATGGTCAGCCATGAGGGAGTCCAACACCCTTAACCACCATGCCTGCCAGCCCCAAGTTAAATGACTTCTAACTGACAATGTACACTACCTAGAATCTTGGTTTTATACTTGGGAAGAACTCAGCACTCTGTTACAATGTACTAAAATAAACTTTTTCAGAGTTTTAGCTCTACCAGCTCTCTACCCATGAAATTCAACAGAACTGTGTAAACACGACACATCCATGATCTCTTGGACCTGGATATTGATTATGGAGATGCCTAACAATTCTTAGGAGCACTGTATCAGCCAATTGCTTGACTAGGATCAGATGATCAAGAGAGTATCTGGGGACCAGCAGTTAGCGTAATGGCTATGTCGCTGGACTCCCACGTAGTCGACCACGGTTCAGTCCTGGACCTCGTGGCTTAAAACTCACACCGGGCGCATGTGCGTGCATGCCCAAGATCCCAAGAGGAGAATGGAGGAGAAGGGATCGTGGCATGACCATCCTCCCTGGGGGGTGATTTCTCACTTTCTCTCTCTCTGTCTCTCTCTCTCTGTCTGGCAAGTGCATGCGCCCTATAGTGAAAACCTCTCAAAAAA